CCCTCATCCAGGTCATTTATAAAAATGACAAACAGCAGTGGCCCCAAAACAGGTCCTTGAGGTACACCTTAGATTGGAGAAAAGTTGCAAGTTCTTACTGATGATTTCCAATATGTCTGACTGATACTTTTCCCAAGCGTTCAGCCTGTTCTGAAGCCGTTGAGATATATCAGACAGGTTCAGGGTGATCTCTGGAATATTTGGGTCTGTGACTGTCCGAGTCTGAGCCACTCTGAAATGAAGTAGAAGAGAATGGTTTTATCAGTGAGGACATTTCAAATGAGATTCTGCAAAAGGAAATTAGGAAGTTAGGTACAAGTTGAAACGGAGGACCTCTAGGGTTGTAATATCAGGACTACTCCCTGTGCCATGTGCTAGTGAGGCCAGAAATAAGAAAATAGTACAGGTGAATGCGTGGCCAGTTGACCAGAGGTCAGGACCAGCATATTCCTGTCAGGATGAAAGATAAGAATGGTAAAATTCAGGAACCTTGGATGATGAAGGATGTTGCAAGTTTAATTCAAAAGAAAAAGGAAGCAAATGTAAGGTTTGGGAAGTAGAAATCAAACAAGGCCCTTGAGGAGTATAAAGGAAGCAGAATGGAACTTAAAAAGAAATTAGGAGGACTAGTAGGGGCCATGAAATGTCTTTGCAAGTAGGATGAAGCAGAATTCCAAGACATTTTATATATATATTAGGAGCAAGAAGGTAACTAGGCAAAGGGTAGATCCACTCAAGGACAAGGGAGGAAATTTATGTGTTTAGCCAGAGGAAGAGAGTGAGAATTTTAAATTATGAGAGGCATGAATAGGACAGATAGTCAGAGTCTTTTTCCCAGGATGGAAATGTCAAATACCAGTGGGCATAGTTTATGGTGAGAGAGGGAAAGTTTAAAGGAGATGTGTGAAGAAATTTTTTTACGCAGAGGATAGAATGGAATAGGACAGAATAAATAGCTTTTATTGTCACATCTATTCAATGAGTATAGTGAAAAGTTTATACATCACCAATTACAGCACCAACTTAGATACCAAAGCACCCAGACACAGTTTCTTTAATTACAAGACAATAGAGAAATAAAATGCCCAGCATTACACAAATACAAGTTCTGTACAATAGGTTATGCTGGTAACTAGTTTCCAGCCCACACCGGGCCCTGGCTCCTCACCGTGCCAGCAACATGCCATGCTGGGAGGCAGCTGCAGGAGGACAAAAGGTCACCACACCATGCCAGGAGGCCCCGACGAGAGAAGGCCACTGCACCAGGCTGGGAGGTCACCATGCCATGCTGGGAGGCTGCTGTGCCAGGCCGGGTGTCATCGCTGGAGGCCGGGAGTCGTTACCGGAGGCCCAGAATTGTCATTCGCCAGAGGCCGGGAATCATTGTTGAAGGCTGGCAATTGTCGCCGGAAGCCAAGAGTTGATGAGAAATAAAACAAGAAGGAGAAGAAAATAAAGCACTAAGATAAAGAACAGAAGAAGGAAAAGAAGAACAGTCAGAGCGTCCTACTCTGTCACCATCTTGCATGATAGAATAGAGCCTCTTAAAGAAACACAAGGTCATCCACTTGCGGAGCCATAAGAGATGGGTGAGGTCCTAAATGAATATTTCTCGTTCAGTATTTACCGTCAAGAAAGGCAGGGATGCTAGGGAACTTGGGGAAGTAAATAATGATGTCTTGAAGAGAGTCCACAGTACGGAAGAGGAAGTGCTAGAAGTCCAATGCATTAAGGTAGCTAAATCCCGGGACCTGATGAAGTGTAACCCAGAACTTTGTGGGATGCTAGGGAGGAAATTGCAGGGCACCTAATGGAGATAAAAACAAAGTTGCTGGAAAAGCTCAGCAGGTCTGACAGCATCTGAGGAAGGGTCACCAGACCTGAAATGTTAACTCTGTTTTCTCCTTCACAGATGCTGCCAGACCTGCTGAGCTTCTCCACCAACTTTGTTTTTGTTCCTGATTTACAGCATCCGCAGTTGTTTTGGTTTTTAATTAATGGAGATACTTGTATTGTCAACAGCCACAGGTGAAGTGCCTAAACTTTGGAGAGTGGCTAATATTGTGCCATTATTTAAGCAAGGCTGCAAGGAAATGCCTGGGAACTACAGACCAGTGACTAATGCCATGGTTGGTAAGTTTTTGGAGGTGATACTGAGGCATTTGGAGAAGCAAGGACTCTTTTGAGATAGTCAGCATGGATTTGTGCATGGGAAATCCTGTCTCACAAATTTGATTGAAGGGGTGACCAAGAAAGTAGATGAAAGCAGTATGGTAGACATTGTCTACATGGGCTTTAGCAAGGCCTTTGACAAGGTTGTTGAGTAAGGTTAAATCTCACAGGATTCAGGGAATTGTTTCTTATATCATTTATATAATTGATTTGAGGAGAATTTAGGAGGTACGGCTGGTAAGTTTGCAGATGACACCAAGATTGGTGGGAAAGTGGACAGTGAAGAAGGTTATCTGGGAATACAGCAAGATCTTGATCAACTGAGATCATGGGCTGAGGAACGGCAGATGGAATTTAATTTAGATAAATGCAAGGTCTTGCAATTTGGTAGGTCAAACCAGGGTAGGACTTATCCAGTCAATAATGAGTGTTATCGAACAAAGAGATCTTGGAGTACAGATTCATAGTTCCTTGAAAGTGGAATCACAGGTAGACAGGGTGGTGAAGACGACTTTCAGCATGCTTGCTTTCATCGGTCACAGCACTGGGTATAGGAGTTGGGACGTCTTGTTGCAACTGTATAAGATGTCAGTAAGGCAACATTTGGAGTACTGCGTTTTATTCCGGTCACCCTACTATAGAAAGGATATTATTAAACTAGAAAGAGTGCAGAAAAGATTTACTAGGATGCTACGTGGACTGGAAGATTTGAGTTATAAGGAGAGGCTGGATAGACTGGGACTTTTTCCCTGGACCGTAGGAGACTGAGGGGTGACCTTATAGAGGTCGACAAAATTGTAACAGACATAGATAAGGTAGTTGACCAACAGGTTTTCCCCATGGTAGGGGAGTCTAAAACTAGAGGGCACAGGTTTAAGGTGAGAGTGGAGAGATACAAAGGGGTCCAGAGGAGCAATTTTTTTCACATGCAGGGTGGTGAGTGTCTGGAATGGACTGCCGGAGGTGCTGGTGAGTACAATTTTGTCATTTAAGAAACATTTAGACAGGTACACAGATGGAATAGGTATGGAGAAATATGGACCAAATGCAGGAAATTAATTGTGAAAACCGGGCAGCATGGATAAGTTGGGCCGAAAGGTGTTTTCCATGCTGTAAAACTATATGACTTTCTGTGGGTTGAATACAAGTCCGTTTGTTGTTTTTAAGAGGATTAATTGCTTGAGATGAGTTAAAAGCTTTGAATGGGCCTCAATGAATGGAATTTCTGAAAAAATAATGCAGGCTAATATAGATATTTAGCCCCTCATTTTATTTCATCTCACCATTTCAAGCAGTTGCATCAAGCCATAAAACTTTCCAATTCTTGTTACTCACTTCAGGTGTGGAAATTTGGCCCATAGTCAGCAGAATTCAGAATAGATCACATGATCTCCTTTCATTCCTTCATTTCATCCAAAATTAAAGCCACAGTCCCAGTATAACTATCTTATAAACTTCAGAAATATAACAAACATCATTCAATATTCCCACAGTTTGAATGCACTTTATCTGGGGTGGTTTCCAGCCATGATTCTACTTCCACTCTGCTTCCAGATAGAGGGGAAGCTTCCCTGTCAACAGCTACTGAGAGGTACTTACCTCGAAAGGAGCTGCCTCGAGTTCTGTGAACAAAGAGAGAAAATCAAATCAATCAATGTGCAAAGCAACATCCAATGGAACTAAACAGTGAATTTGGGATTGAGGGAAAGAATTCAGTGTTGAACAGTTAGTGTCACCAGTCCCAGGAATGGGGAATAATCCCATATTTCCTGGCACTCCATCCTGGAACTGTACCAACACTCCGAGAGGGTTAACAGGGCAGTACCAAGAGTCCTAGAGCAAAGTTGAGCAGCACCAACACTCCTAGGGCAATTCAAAGGGGACAGCAAATATATGCTGATGCTGAACCCCACCAATAACCTTCAAACAATTCAGACTCACTCTATCTTCACAGTAACAGCCCATTCCACACAATTTGTTTATATTGAAAATGTACCTGAATAATGGAGAGAGTGTCCCCCTGTTGCAGATTCCAGGTTTTTCCATCCACTGATGTGACCAGTTCAATCATCCTGTTTAATGCTCCAGAATAGTTCCTAATCTGAGTTAGAGTTTGGAGTCCCTCCTCATCGATCGTTTTCAGCGCGGACGATTCATCTTCTTCTAACTTTCTCCTCCATTCAGCAAAGTTCTTCAATATATTTTCTTTCAGCTCACTGAGTTGTGTCTGAAACCCAAACCAACTCTTATTACAAGCAGCCTTTCCCCACAGCTGTTACCCCGAGCACAAGACAGGACAGTTTGTTCCAATCACTATCTATCACCATTAAAGATTGTGGGGATGTCCACTGGGAGGGAAAACAGAGTTTCATCAGGGTTACCTTGAGATTAAAAGAAAAAGCACTGTATTTAGACTGGGGATGGCACTGTCACCTGGTCAATTGTTATGGACCACACCAGATCCCCTCAAAATATTCTAAGAAAATAGCAAAGACCCTAACTTTTCCTTATTTTAAAGGCAGGTGTAATGTGCTGTGTTCCAGATGCAATTTGATTTGTCAAACTACTCAATATTAAGCAAAACACAATTTATTTAAACTCTACAGTTAAAATACAACCAAAGAACAAGGAATTTAGAATAACTTAACTCTACTGGAAAATGTAATAGAATAATAGCTATATTAGCTATTATTAATTAACTGTTCCAATATAGTAACATCCCATAAACCCACCCTTTGGCAAAAAGGCAAATTCAGAAAAACAGATATTGTCTCACATAATCTAGCAGCCTAGGAAGAGAACCTCCAGCTTTTGGCTGTAATCAAGAGGGAAAAATAGCTTCCACTTCATCAAGCCCACAGCAGCAACTGCTGAAAGCTAACTGAAAATCCTTGATCTGTGAGCGCTCAACCCCACCCATTCAGGCTGCTTCTATTTACCAACTTAAAAAAAAACCCTAAGGCCTCGCAAGCTGTTTACTCTCATGGTTTTGGTAGACTGCTCAGTACCTCTGCCTTACAACCTGTCTTCAAAAGAAACTAGGACAAAATAACCTCTTAAAGCTACAGCATCATCACATCTTCCACATTGGGAACGATGGATCCAGTTTTGGTGCCCACACCTGGTGAGGGAGACTGAGATTCTGGAGTGGACGGTAACCAGAATGACACAAAGTCTGACAGATTTTAGTTCAGGAGATCAACTCCAAAGGGGTCAGGTGATTGATAGAAAGGCAGGCTGAGAGGGACATGACGAAGGTGTTTAAAATGATGGAGGAATTGTCAGACTCACTGATTGGGTGAGGTATTTGAGATGTATCAGGTAGTCAGACTAAAGGGCCTGTGAATTAAATATCTAGACACAATTAGATTAGACACCAGGGTCCTTGATCTCTGGAACAGACTCCCTGAACATGTGGTGGGATGGTGTCACTCTCACCCTTTAAAAGGATGCTGCAGAGAAATTTCACCAGGTGTTTATTCTCTCATCTATTTGTCTTTCCCAGGTCAGGACATGGCTCATCGTGGATCAGTGGGGTGTGTGACTGAAAACTGCCTGCAGGTTCACTGGGGCTAATGGGATTTTCTTCCCTTTCCTTTCTATTTTTAGGTGATCCATGCTCCAGAACAAGTCGTCAATTGCCAGCCTATGACTATGTATGTTTCAGTAAATCCAGTGTCCAAGTGATGAAATAATATTCGCAGGAGGCGCAGGGAGAGTTAAACAGCTCCCCCGCACATCAAACACACGGGAACTCAGTGTAATCAGTGGCTCAGCACAGTCAAATAAACACTTTTTTTAAATGTACACATTTAATCAGTGAGGAAAGAAATAGTTTTGAAACCCAATTACACTTTTCCCTACCCTTATTTCATCTTCTGATCTAACCAAGTTTTGCTGTCTTCTTGAATATGTTTCCTGGTCTTCCAGAAGCTTCTCAAGTTCTCTCTCTAATTCTTCCTGGAAAGACATATAGAAAGTGTTTAAAATAACATCCTGATTTATATAATGCTTTTATCACAGTAAAACATTCCAGGATTCTTTGCAGAAGCATGAACAATCAAAAATTGATACTGAGACAAAGGAGTAGGCATTAGAATAACTGACAGAAATCTTGCTTAGAAAAGTATTTTTAGAGGTGCATTCAAGGTGAAGAGTGTTTAGTGCGTGAGTTGTCAAACTAAAATGACTAGACTGTTGAAGGTATGGTCATGAATGGTAGGCAAAATAAGTTGGTGATGCACAAAAGGCCAGAATTGAAGAGGAGTAGTGTCTTCAATGGGTTAGAATATTGGAAGTTATAGAGATAATGAGGGGTTAGGCCATGAACAAATCTGAACATCTTTTCTGAACACAAAGCATGAGAATTTTACAACTGAGGCATTGCCAGACAAAGATCCATCTTAAGTCAGATAGCACAGGAGTGATGCAAGCACAGGACTTGATCCAAGTCAGGAAAAGGGCAGCAGAATTTTAGATGATCATTGCATGTATTTGTATGTGGGGAGAGGCTGTAAAGCATAGATGGCAATGGGGTCATGCAGGAGGGGAGTTTACCCATGGTAAGAATCACCCTGTATTCAAAGGGTAATGGTGCAAAGGACCAGGCTCATATAAACATATTGGGTAGGAGGGACCTGGATAGGTGCAAAGCCTACCGGATTCATGGGAAGGGCTATCAGGAAGGAAATCTGGATGTGAAGGGAGTCACTGGTACATAGAAGCAAAGGCTGGAAACTACCACACAAAGTGCACTTGCTGTCACCTCCATTGTGCTGGAAGTGCAAAGTGAACAACTGGAAAGAAAATGTCTAAGACCATATCACGAGTAGGCATGGTAAGTATCTCAGCCTGTGTGGGAGGGAAGCCCTTTACAGGGCAACAACATTACGCAGACACGTGCACTGCATAGGACAAGGGCTCTATAATCTCTCACTACCTTAATGCATTGGCGCCCTGTATGCTGTGCAGCTCCCTGCCCCAGACCTTGCTGACCACTTAATTCAAGACTGACACTTTTGCACACTTTAGCCAGGGCAGAAAAGTAATGTTTCACCAAGGGGGGCAATGGTGTTAGCAAAACTCATTGCTATATATATGCCATGTACAGCTTGCTTCCACATGCAGCAGGCTCTCAACACAGATATCATTCCATGGTACATGCTGCATGGGCATGATGTTAGGCACCATGGTGGCACTGTTCCATCTGGGCTACACAGAGGCTCAAACAAACAGATTTAGTGCAGAACCATTGACATTTATGGAAACGTAAGCATCAATATATAGTGGAATGGCAGACAAGACACCAGGTAATATCACTTGGCTAGTAACCCAGCACCCCAGGCTAATGTTTGGAGGGCATGGGATCGAAAGCCACTAGGGCAGATGATGAGAATTCAATTTTTAAAAAATAAATAAACTGGTTCACTAATATCCTTTAAGGATGGAAATCAATTGTTCTTATATAGTTTGGCTGACATGAGACTTCAATGCCACAGCAATGTGTTTGACTCTTAACTGCCCTTCAGGCAATTAGTGACGGGCAATAAATGCTGGCCTAACTAGTGATGCCCACAATCCCATGAACAATTTTTAAAAAACTTAGTGAGGCAAAAGGGGCTGGCACAGCTGGTATTTTGCAGCACCGAGCCGATGGTGACATCAGACAAGGCTGCCAGGGACTGTTTTCTTTGCCGGTTCCCTGAGAAGGGGACAGCCTTCCTTCGGAGGTCCCTGTCAGAGAATCACAATGCCATTCCTCCTTCTCTAACGTCTTCAGAATGATTTCTGATAACAAGCTGGGTTGGAATGCCAGTACTCATCTGGATGCAGAACAATCTTTTAAAGAAACGTGGATATCTAGTGAGTTCTTCCTGGAATGGTAAAATGGGGCTAGAATCCAGAAAGAGGGCCACCATGGGTTTAGTTAGGTAGTTAAAGAGCTGGGTTTGATGAGATATGGTGGCGAGAAACCCATGATGAAACGCAGTAAAACCAACACTTAGCCAAAAAAATATAAATTGTCTTTATTTCGCTGCAGATTCTCAAGAAACAGCAGTAATGATAGTTGCATGGTACTTTTACTAAGACTAGCTTTCAGCTCCTGGTTTATTATTAAATTAACCTTAAATTTCCCCAGTTGATATAGTGGGATTTGAACATATGCACATTAACTTGGGTCACTAGATTAGAAACCCAGTGACACGACCATTACTCCAATATCACCCTTTATGCCCAAATCATCCATATCCTTCCCTAATTAAAGAGACTGAAATGGTATCCAGTACCACTTGTGGCTTCACCAATGCCCTGTACAATTGTAATAGGAGTTCTGTCCTCCATATCTTGCATTAAAGGTCACTATTTCATGGAATTTCCCAATACCTGCTTCATCTGCTGACCTATTGGATTCATGGATAATGGTTTATAGGTCAGTACCACAGGATTTTGCAATTCTTCTGCATTTACCTAATATTCTGTTTTCCTATTTTTCTCACTAAAGTAGTCAGCCTCATATTTTCCCTTATTATATTTCATCACTTTTCAGCTCATTCACTCAACCTATCTACATCACTTTGCAGACTTCTCATATTGTCCTCAACTTGTTTTGCAACCCAACTTTGTATCGATCCTTTATCCATTCTACCACCTAATATATCGACTATGACTTCATATCTTGTGTACCATCTTTCTATGGAGCGCATCATCAAATGTCTTTTGGAAATCTAAACATACTAATCTACTGATTCCCTTTTATCAATCCCATTGATTACATTCTCAAATAACTCTAATTTGTCAAAAACAATTTTTCTTTTACAAAACCATGTTGGCTCTGCCTGATTATATTAAGATTTTCTAAATTTCCTGCTACCACTTCCTTAATAATAGATTCTACAATTTCCACAGATTTTAGTTTGTTGCTTTTTGTCTTCTACCTTTCTTGAATACAGATGTATAATTTGTGGTTTTCCAAGTCACTGGAATCTAGGAAATCTTGGAAGATTACAACCAAAGCATCTGCTATCACAGTTGTTTGTTACTAACAGTCCCCAATAACAACTATTCACCCTCTCAGCCTGATCGTTAGCAACTCCTTTGTTTGTTGGTCTGCCTGTCTTTTGTGTGAATTGGGGTTGAAAACAAATGTTTCATGTTTAAACCACAGACATTAATCAGCCTGACCTTGTTGCTTAACTTTCATCTCTGCAGAAGTTATTGTGTATCTAATAAATAGTGAAGTCTTTTGTTTAAGAAACCAAACTGATGCCTGGAAATTAATTATTTGAAAAGTTTGGGATTGGTTATTCTAATGTGGTATACTGCATCCACTGTACCCGTTGTGGCTTCCTCTACATCGGGGAAACCAAGCGGAGGCTTGGGGACCGCTTTGCAGAACACCTACGCTCGGTTCGCAATAAACAACTGCACCTCCCAGTCGTGAACCATTTCAACTCCCCCTCCCATTGCTCAGACGACATGTCCATCCTGGGCCTCCTGCAGTGCCACAACGATGCCACCCGAAGGTTGCAGGAACAGCAACTCATATTCCACTTGGGAACCCTGCAGCCCAATGGTATCAATGTGGATTTCACAAGCTTCAAAATCTCCCCTCCCCCTACCGCATCCCAAAACCAGCCCAGCTCGTCCCCGCCTCCATAACCTGTTCTTCCTCCCACCTATCCCCTCCTCCCACCTCAAGCAGCACCCCCATTTCCTACCTACTAACCTCATCCCACCCCCTTGACCTATCCGTCTTCCCTGGACTGACCTATCTCCTCCCTACTTCCCCACCTACACTCACCTTTACTGGCTCCATCCCCACCTCTTTGACCTGTCTGTTTCCTCTCCACCTATCTTCTCCTCTATCCATCTTCTATCTGCCTCCCCCTCTCTCCCTATTTATTTCAGAACCCCCTTCCCCTCCCCCATTTCTGATGAAGGGTCTAGGCCCGAAACATCAGCCTTCCTGCTCCTATGATGCTGCTTGGCCTGCTGCGTTCATCCAGCTCTACACCTTGTTATCTTGGTTATTCTGTAGTCTGGTTAGGAACTATTGGAGTTTTGGGGTCTTCAATAGTTTAATTTTACAGTGTTGCAAATGGAGGTATAAAGGCTGATTTGGTTGGGCTGTCTGTACCCATGTCATTACAATTTCTTTGCTTGGTTTCTTTTGTTACCTCTTCTTGTTAGCTCCATGTTCAGGTGGTTTTTAATCATGGCTCACTTGGAATATTTACAGACCCTGTTGAGCTAAGGATAATACTAACTTGTTTAAGGAACATCTTCCTGTGGCTTCATTTTGTCATGATGCTGCAAAGGAGGGAGCAAGATCATGCAACATTGCATTATTTCATATAATGATGTGTACTGTGACTCACTAGCAAATCTCACTCATACTCAATTCCTTATACTATAATTATAAATATTTGTTTCTTCATTCCTTTTTTAACTGTGGCAGAGAATTACTGAAGACATTTATAAGAGGCTGCCAATGTACTTTTAACACAAAGAATAAAATATTCATTAAACAAGAAAAGCACTAAATAAACAAAAAGTTAGAAAGATCTATTACAGAAATCAGAAGAAGATTCAAGTTCCTTTGTATCAGCAATATTCTTACAACAGCCAAACTTCAGCGAAGGGTTACCATTACCTTCATACTAAAACTCTTTGTTCTTTCAGGAAGTTATAGCTGTGAGTTCTTTTTGGCAAATTTTAGTGTTACCATTTGAGCTCCCTCCTTCAGTAAGCATCTCTTCTGAGTCACTTAAAATAAACTGTAAACTAAACTCACTATGCTTTAACATCAAAGAAATACAAGAGTTCCCTAAAATCAGTATCCAGCAAAGCTGCTTCCACTTTCTGGCACCCACAGACATAGACTGATTGACTTTCTGGATTGCTGTTTTTATTTCTGCATGTCACTGGACCCCTGTTGCTAGGCAACAGCAGTGTTTTTC